CAGCACAATTGGAAAAGCATAGTCAGTGTCACTGAACTGTGCATGTAGAAACTTTTGAAATGGTGTATCTTTGGCTATGTGTATTTTCACCAAAAAAAAAAAAACTGAGAAGTTAGAGGGTTGATATGTTATGGGGTTGTTAACCAATGTCATAAAACAATATGTGTACTAGTGTTTCATGAGAAACTATTTGTTCTGTAAGCCTTCACCTGAAGTACAATAAAAAAGTAAAAAAAAAGTAAAGAATAAAATAAAATAAAAAAATGGGGGGAAAAAAAGAATGTTTGCCTTGAATATTGTGCTCTTTTTAAGATTTATCTTCAGACGATGAAATTCAAAATGGCAACTTGAAAAGTTTGCTGAGAAGCTTAGGGGGCAGTGAGTTTATTCTAAAGATGATGAAATAATTTGGAAAAGGACAGAGAAAGGTGGTACAACTTGAAGAATGTAACCACTGTCACTGAATTGTACATGTAGAAATTGTTGAATTGGTGTAGTTTTGTTGTATATATTTTCACCAAAAAAAAAAACAAAAGACTAAAACTTATACCCACATATGCATTGTAATTTCTTGAGGAAGTACTTAGCATCACTGCAACAAATGTTGGCAGATATACTAAATCATTTGGTCAGCCACTATCCAGAAATGAATGACTACTTTAGGGTGTGAGTTTATCGCGTTAGGTATCAGACAGGCTAGATTCTAACCACAGATATTCCACCGTAAGGATGTAACTGTAAAATGTAAGGACATAACTTAGTAATACTGTCACATTTATTCACTTAGATTTTCTGAAAAATCTAGCATGTGGCAGGCTCTTTACCAGTTGATTAATAGCAGACAACTGAAGAAAACACACATACAAAATTAACTGTCCTCAAAAACAAACAACATCCATGTGGAGGCACTTACCATACTCACTGCATTACATATGCTCCAGAAATACTAGTTTCCTTCCTTCCTGGACAGCTCTGTCACTCAAGTTTTGATCCAAGAGGTGGCAATCACAGTTTAGCAAGGGACATGTCCATGTTTCCATGTCACATGTATGTGTCTTCAGGGATCCAAGGAAGGGTTTCTAGTTTGCTTTCAATAACATATAAAGTTCAGGAAAAAAATAAAAATATACATTAAGTTAGAATATTTACAAAAATAAAAAATGGATATTTGAGGAACTAGCAAAGTGCAATATTGCACCTGCCATTTTTAACTATTCAAAGTTTTCACATGTCAAGCCAACATATTTTGTTGAAAATAACATGCTCTGAAGTCTAGTGAGGCACAGTGACTGGATTTCAGAGTCATTTTAAGCTCAAATTTTAAAATCATAATGGTCAGATAAGGTCCATTGTCATCACGAACCTAGCCAAGGCCTCTGCAATATATGTAATTTTTATCACAAGGTTATTTTACCTGTAGTGATTTATGTTTCTGTCCTAAATGCAGTTAACATGATTTTCAGTGTTATTTGGGACACTACTGCGTAGGACCCACACTGATGATGGGTCAGCAAATTCAGAACTCAAATTCTCTCTTCACTTCAGAGTCATCACCTAAGTTGGCAAAACGACATCACATGAAAGAGTTCCAACACACATACATCCCATTTCAGGCACAGAAGTCATTCTCCCACTACAGAAAACCCAGGATCATATTCCTTGCTTCATTTATTTAATAAAATGCACATACCAAGTATTACGTGTATGGCCAGTACCAAAGGGAATAAAACACACGAATAAGACAATCTAGCAATGTACTATCAGTTGGATGATAACACATTTTTAAAATTACACCTATTGATATAATAGAGGTTGTAACTGATTATTTGCAGATATCAATAAAAGTTTTATTTGAAGTGACTACAGTGTTTTTTCTGATCTTGAAAACAAGATTATGAAAATTCTAGACGAGATGCAGTATTATAAAATAATTAGATATGTAAATTTGTTCCCAACTGTAATATTATAATTAAAAGAAAGAAAGAAAACACCAGTCCATTAATTACAAGACTCTTAAACATTGATATGATTACATGATTAGGGGCCAGTGACTGCATGAAGATGGAGAATGCCTTAAATATCTTAGAAATCTTTTGTACCAAGTTCAGTTTAGCTATCATATTAACAGAGAATACCAGAAGGACTTCATAACCAACTACTAACATAGCGTAACTATTAAATCTCAGAATTCTATTTGAAAGTATTATTTAAATCACAATGAAAGTCTTAACAGATACGATATATGCAACATGTTTTTGGAGTAAGTTAATAAATATGTATACCTAGAAACCAGAAAGTTTTTGCCCTGTCATGTTTCAGATGAGGCACATACTGGTTTGAATTCAGGAATATACAAAGAATTCTAAGGGACACCAGACCCATAATTCTGATGTCTGAAATTTGATGATTGAAGACACATATCTCACTCTCTACATGCAATTTTATGAAAATTTGTATTCCAAGTGGTCTTCTAGTACATGACACAATCAGGGTTCTCAAAAAATTCAAGAAAGCGTCAAAGAGAATATTCAAGTGGCCAACAAGCACATGAAAGGATGCTCATTAGCATTCCCAGCCCATTGCCATTGAGTCTATTCCAACTCCTAGCAACCCTACAGGACAGAGTAGAACTGCCCCCATCGGGTTTCCAAGACTTTAAATCTTTACAGGAGCAAACTGCCACATCTTTCTCCCATGGAGTGGCTGGTGGGTTCGTACTGCAGCTAAGCGCTTAAGTGCTGGACAACCAGGGCTCCTTCATTAGCCATCAGGGAGATGCAAATCAAAACCACAATGACATACCATTTTATTCTCTATTAGAATGGCAATGATAAAAATGACTACCAATAGGTGTTGGATGTTTTAGAGAAACAGAAATCCTTAATCATTGCTGGCAGAAATGGTACAGCTGGTGGTAATGTACAATAAAATGGTGCAGAAACTGTAGGAAACATTTTGGTGATTTCTCAAAGTTGAACACAGAAGTACCACATGACTCAGCAATCTCAATGCTAGCTATATATCTAAGAGACAAAAACAGTTACACACACACTAATGTTGACTGCAGCACTATTCACAATAGTCAAAAGGTGGAAATAACTGAAATGTTCATCAACAGATGAATGCATAAACAAAACATGATACTTGCCTATACTGGGATATTACTCTGCCATAAAGAGAAATGTAGTTCTGATGCATGCTACAAGGATGAACCGTGAAATCATGCTGAGTCACAAAAGAATAGACACTGTATGTTCTCACTTACATGAAATAAGCAAAAGTTTAGAAACCAAAATTAGTGGTTTCCAAGGGTGGGAGCAAGGAGAAAAGGGGAGTTTTTTGCTTAGAGGGGAATGAGTTTATATTAACGATGATATAATAATTTGGGAAAGGAGAGCAAACCATGGTTGAACAACTTGAAGAATGTGATCAATGCTACAGCGTTATATGTAAAAATTGTTAGGAAAAAATTCCAGAAAGTTCTGTGCTGCGAATGGTATTATCACAAACCAAAATAGCCATTTGAAGTAAACACCTTGCCTAATCTGGAGTTCTTGTCATGCACCTCTAACTTGCAAAAGAAGGCATCTTTGGGCTAGGAACCATAGTCTCAGAAGACATTTAGGTCAATTGGCATATCATAATCCACAGAGACAACGTTCTACATCCTACCTTTGGTGAGTACCGACTGGGGTCTTAAAAGCTTGAGAGTAGCCATCTAAGAACAGTTGGTCTCTTCCTGTCTGAAGCAAAGAATAGTGAAGAAAATCAAAGACACAAGGGAACAATTTGTCCAAAAGACTAAAGGACCACATGAACCATGGCCTCCACTAGCCTGAGACCAGAAGAACTAGATGGTGCCTGGCTACCACTACCAACAGCTCTGACTGGGACCACAATAGTAGGTCATGGACAGAGAGAGAAATGTATAACAAAATTCAAAGTCATAAATCAGATCAGACTTACTGGTCTGAGAGAAACTGGTGAAACCCTTTGAAACTATCGCCCTTAAACATCCTTCAAACTTGGAACTGAAATCAATCACAGAGATCATATTATAGCCATACAATGGACAGGCCTATAAAACTAACAATACCATCAGTGAGGAATGTATACCTCAGAACAATCAACTATATGAGACCTAAAGGACAGCATTTGCCAAAAACAAACTTTAGGACTGTAGGGGCAGGAAATCTGGGTAAATGGACACATGGAACCCAGGGAGGGAGGGGGGAGAATGCTGACATATTCAGGGGTTTACGACCAATGTCACAAATTGGTGTAAACTGTTGAATGGGAAACTAATTTGTTCTATACACTTTTACCTAAACAAATATTCAAAAACAAATTCTATGGAGCAGTTCTACTCTGTAACACATGGGGTCGCCATGAGTCAGAATGGACTTGAAGGCAATGGATTTTTCACTTCTCTATAAAAGAAGCCTTTTCTTCTAACCCTAACCCGATGTTTGCAGATTTTATGGTCAGAGCACTCTCCCTACTGCAATAGACACCCCTACCCCAATAATCCTTTCAAATAAAGTCTCTCCTTACTAAAAATAAAAAAGAGGCCATCTTTAAAGAAGTGTTATACAACGGGTTTTCTTCATATATGATGCATGATCACACGTGCCAAAATCTGAATGCCATATATACCAGCAGACACACAAAAGGAGTAACGTTTTCCTTCCAAAAAGGAAAAAAGTTAACACAGATCACTGGGAAAAGTGGGTCCACACAGCAGACTGAGCAGAAAACATAGCTTCTTAGATATGATCCACACACTGTTTAGCGAGGAAAAACTATCTATCATCTTAGAGACAATTCTGTCCTAACAGAGTGGCTTTGTCTCCAGTGATCCAGATAAAACATCTTGGCTGGGGAGCTGAAATCAAAAGTTTTTGTTTATTTTGATGTTGTTGTTTTTTAACACTCACAAACTCAGAAAAAAGTGATGTCTCATCTGTATTAAAGAACTCTCCAAAACCAAGTAAGGCTTGACTATTTTATGTTCCTTACCTGATAGTTAATGGCCACCAATCCTAGAAACTACTCTGGTGGAAACACATAGTATTGGTGATAGCAACTGTCGTCTCTTCGAAGGTCCCTTTTTCTTGAGTGACTACCACTTCCGAGGATATAATTTAAAAGAAAGAAACAATGACGTGTATATACACAACCTCTGCTGGAGAAAGTGCAGTCTCAATCAGTCTACCAGTCTTAGGCTTACTATGGAGTTAACTTCAATCTCTAACCATAGACTTTGACAAGCTAACTCTTAACAGTCAACACGGGTGATCCACTCACTGCCTACTGAATGACCCTGAAAGCTTAGTAGTAAAACCTAAAAAAACTCCTTCCCCTTTCCTTTTAAAAATTACTTCATTGTTCAAAGACCAACTAAAATTGGATCTAGATACTTAGGCTATTTAACTAGAAGAGAGTATCTGTTCCTCTGAAGAATTCCAGTACCTTAATAAGTAAAGCAGTTGGGCATAATCAGAAACTGTACTGTAGCATACCAATTATCTTTTAAGTAATATAATGCATTATCTCAAATATGAAATCCCTCTGCCTCCTAGTACCCACGCTCTTTTTATCAGTTATTAATACTTACTTATTTCAGGTGATGATTCTTCCAGGATCAGACCATGTTCTATGGCCACATCAGGCACAATGGAGCCGTAAAAACTGATCACCTCAGGTAAACTTTCAAGAAAAAGGAGTAACTACTATTCCAAATGCTTTGATTCAATAAGCAGTGTCTGATTCAGTACTACAATTTCCCTTGGTATACAGGTGGCCTCACAATGCTTTTCATCTCATTTGCATTACCCCTCAGATAAAAGTAAGTGTGAACTAGGAGGTTAATGTGAATCTTAGCTTGACTTCTTAAATCTACCTGGTCATTAGTTTTCTTATCTGTAAAAGGTTATTGACCAGCACTGGTCAATGCACAAAGCGCAAGTTACGAAGCAAAAACGAGTGTATCATTTTATCATATGGACTAAAGAGAAAACGATTTAAATGAGTTGCTTAACAGGATTCACCTTACCCCTCACAACTTCAAGACCAGAAAAATCCCACTCTGACTTCAACAAAACCAACAGACACACACAAAAAAATTGTACACAGTACCTTGCAGTTTAATTGCTCTATGTATTTATTATTAGCTAATATTAATGCAGCAAAGAGGAGACAAAAAGCTCACGAACACTCTACACGGTTTTACACGACGCATTGCAGGGAAAAAGTGACTAAGAAGGATCAACAGTATCCTAGGGTCTTGGTGGACGCATTCCTGGGGGAGGTGGACCTAGAAAGAAAAGACATATCCGTAAAAAAAGAACAGACACGTATTCAGGGCTTGGCTGCCATCACTAGGCACACTATAATTGAGTAATCCCAAGAGCACCAGTGTGCCTACTCACCTCTAATTCCTGGTGGAGGGGGTCTCATTCCTGGAGGGGGCATGCCTATTGGGGTCCCTCGAGCCGGAGGAAGCCCAATCGGTGGGCCCATGGGTGGTCTCATACCAGGTGGAGGAGCCATAATGCCTACAAAAGGAAAATGACAGAAATAAAAGCCTCATAAATCAGCTCATCTAAGTTAACAGAATTCATTCCAAGATAATATTTAAATAAATGGGCCCAGATATCCATTACCCCTGTATCCCATCCTTAATTTAAAAGAGACTACAACTGTTTATTAAAAATCCAGTATCCTAAAGAGGGAAGCATAATCCCATGCTTCTAGCTAGGTACTTGGACTGGGCCTTAATATAGTATCTTCTTACCAAGAATATCTTTAGGCCTCATTCCCTCATAATGCTACAATCCCAAACCTGCTTCTTAAGAACCAAAATCTTCTACTACTTGTTCATCAATCCCTTACCTGGAGGTGGGGTTGCTCTGCCCACAGGTGGAGGTGGGGTTCCCCGACCTGGTGGGTACTGTGTCGGGGCTCCAGCAATGCTAGCAGTGGCAGCAACTGCAGCAGCTGCTACAGTGCCTCTTCCCTGGGGCGTCATTACCTGAGAAGGCATGACCAGAAAAACAGTGAAATTGAGGCCTACCTCATATCGTTCAAGCACAAAAAATAAATGGGGCTAATGACCCACTGAATTCTTAAAAAGTATGGCAATTTTGTACTTCTCCCATTATGCCCATTATTTTTAAATTAAAAAAACAAATAACTCTTGGTACACATTCTCCTTTAAACTTAATGAGCCCCTTTTCCATCTAATAAACCCTTTTGCATTTTCTCAAGCCTATTGTTTTCACTCATCAAGTAACAATAGTGGCAAGTTACTCTTACAAGGTGACTTTAAAGCACCAATGCCCACTCTACCTTCCTCCTCAGTGCCCTCTGCAGCATACGCTGCTTATGCAACACAGGATGAAGTCTCAAGTTTTAAATCTCCTCATCCTAAGGCTCTAGGCACTTCCTCCCAATAAAACAAAACCTCCTCCTGGTTCCTCACCTGTTGGGATGGGCCTCCAACCCCTCGGACAGGTCCTGCTAATCCAGCAGGAGCCTGGGGAATTGGGACCCCAGCTGGTACCCCTCTGCCAGCTGCCCTGCCAACTCCAGGGCCTCCTGCAGCTCCAGCTAGTGGAACCCGAGCAATGCCAGTCTGAAACAAAAAAGTTTTTAAAACTTGAAACCAAATTCTCAGTAGTCTTACTCACTCCTTCACTAACTTACTCCACCCCGTTCCCATTCCACCTGTGTCTTACTGGTTCTGTACTCAAAGGAATAAACGGGCAAGCGCACCTTGGAGGCATCTTGCAGATGCCTAAAATGTACATTATATTTGTCAAATTGTGGAAATGTGTATTTTTATGATCATACAAAGAGAAAGTAAATTAACAACTCCTACTCTTATCCACATACTGAACAGTACAGAGAATAATTTATCATAAAACCCATAATCTCTAAATACAAAGAAGAAGTGACATCAAGTGTTAAGCACATTTTCACTGACAAAGATGTACTATACGGGGCCTCTGTCATGCCCTAATGTAACAGACATCTCCAATAAAGTAATGTTCTTCCACATGAAAGTTCCGTCCTGCTCTACATCTTACATCTTTGGGGGGTGGCCCCTCCACAGTCATGGAAACCAAGTTCTCCCCACGCAGCAACACCAGACCCAAAACCCGTTTTTCTTCACGCTCTGGCTGCTTCGCATTCTTTGGCCTATAAATCAGAAGTAAATTTCAGTGAGATAAGTTAGGATCTCTACTCAAATTATTTACGTAACTTACTTGTGCATCACGAAGTAAAAATTAAGACAATAACTGATGCCAAGAAGCTCATTTAAACAGAAGACAGCTACTGAGCTGTGATAAAATTAACACCTAGACTCAGCTGATATGCAAACACTAGGTACAGCAGGGTGAATGGTGAAGCTCTTTTCCTATTAAACTTGCAGTCCTTTCCAGAATATTCCTTGACATTACACTTGAGCAAAACTAATTTCTTCATTATAAAACAAATGCAATGACACGGTAAGCCTTTTAAGACAGTCCAAACTGAAACCTCATTGTATATTTATTTTAAGATGGGAAATAAATGTTTAAATAATTTTTTTAACTAAGGTAAATCTTATTGACATGTCAAGGAACTGAAATAATGAATGGGACAGTAACAGGCAGAAGAAGAGGGCATACAAAATGGTAATGAAGAAGTATTTAGAATCAGAGATACCTGTGTATTCCTGAGCTTACCATTTACTATGTAACTTTGGAAAATTAAATTCTCATCCTAGTTTCTTCAAATGTAAGCAGGAAAAATCAGATTAACATCTTTTCATACACGCATGAGGTTTAAACCACACTGAACACGTAAAAGTAACCGTTACAATGCCATTTCCTAAATCTCATTAGTTGTTATCAGCGAATAATGCACACTGAAGCATTAAGTACATGTAATTATTCCCATAACTTGGTCAAGAAAGGAGAAACAGAAATTGAAAATATGCCCAAAGCTCTCAAATACCTTCTTTGGTATTTACCACTACCATAAGGTTTTTTTTAATGCTTTTCAGCAGAAAGGTGGTTTAAACAAAAAAATAAAAATAACATTGAGGTATCTACCATCCTAGCACTTTTGAAATGATCCACCTTGGTATACAGGAAGGAAACTGAGAATAAATGAAAGAGGAACAACAACGAAAATGTTACAAATTCTATTCGTTCAAATTTAACTGAGAAGAACTGACCTCAGCAGGCACAAGCGGTCAAACATCACTTTTTTTTATATTTTAAAACTCAAAGTGAAATGGACATTAAATGTTAAAATGTTTGACAGTATATCACCAACTGTGGGAATAGAGGAAATCAAGCTGAGACTCAAAGGTGATGCCTTACAGGCCACCACCCAAATATTCTGAATGAAAAACTCAACTGAGTAGAGGTAGGAAGACACTAACATCTATCAATTTCTCCTACCAATTAGTCTTGTTGCTAAAAATGACAGATAGTACAAGGATACCCTATTAGAGGAAGGTGGCCAAGCACAAGTGCAAAGCAGACAGTCCAACAGAGGTGATTATTCTAGGAGTAAGTGAGATTATCCTCAAAGGTAAGTGAGCAGAGGAGGTTGGGGATCAACACAAAATGAACACTTAACACAATTCAGACAAAACAAGGGGCTTACTGAAAGGCTGCACTGAACAAATGCCAGAACTGGCATGGACTCTTGTAATTATGTCCCCATTCCTCAACCATGAGGAAAAAATGTTATTTTCTATTTCATCCAACATGCCCTCAGTTTGAAAGACTGCCACAAAAGCCAATCTGTCAACAACATTTTTCTCAATTAAAAAAAAAATACACAAAAATGTAATTTGGTATTTTGATCATACTATACAGTCTGATCACGGATCAGTAAATTTATGATTGTTTTTGCAAATTTGAAATAGTTCTGTAGCTACAAAGACTCTAAGACTGGGAGACTCTGCAGCTATTTGAAGATGAGGCCCAAGGTTAGACACTTTTTCCCCACCTCCTTCAGTTACCCTCGGTAATCCCTACTCCTGCTCTGGCCTTGGCTTCCCACTGCCTCTGCCCACATGCTCTTTACCCAAATAGGTCCTTCTTACTTGATCTTCCTGAACTCATCACAATCACAGAGGATTAAGTTCATATGCTTGTCAAAAGCCTTAAAGGTGCCAATGAAGATTCGGCCATCTTGCAGGATACATCTCATCCTATAGTCAATGTGCTGCAGCATCTTGCTGCTCTTGCCCACGGTCTGCAAGGAGTAAAATAAGAGTCAATAATCAGCGTGTTCACAGCCTAGTTTTCTATGCCACTCGAGTCTATTCCCTATTCCTATACCAACCGCAAACTGGTTTCTTTCACCAAGTAAATCTCTCCTCCTTTCCCCAACGTCCTTCACACCTAGTCTACATCTGAATCCAGTTCCCTTCTATAGCTCCATCATTCTAATCCCATTCTTTTCCCAATTCATATCCAAATCTCACCCTCTTACAGAAAACTTCACCCTATCTCTTTTTCTCTCCTCTCCAAGTTTTGGTTTTTTTGTTTTTACTATTAACAGGGTGGAGCAGTGGTTAAGAGCTTGGCTGCTAACCAAAAGATAGGCAGTTCAAATCCACCAGCCATTCTTGGAAACCCTATGGGGGCATTTCTACTCTGTCCTTACAGGGTCTCTATGAGTCGCAATCGACTCGAGGGCAACAGGTATTAATAGGGTTAGGATACTGTATCCTTCTCCAGACTGCTTTCATCTATACTGAGCCCCAAATTCCTCCATTTTCAAAGTTGATGTTATGTATACTGCAATCTGGCCAAATAGTCTATCTTCAGGATGGTTATAATCATGACCAAAAACTCTCCTGTATTTTCTCACAACAAAATGGTTTGCAAACCTTTTTACTACTACAATACGACACATCACTCATCTTCAGCTGTTACTCTAATTCAATGAGAATCCACCTCTACAGACTGATTTCTGATTTTTAACATTCAGAACCTAAAATCAACCCACATCCTGGGGCAAACCATTGTTTTAAACCCTTGCAGCAATTTCCCACCCCTCTCTCCTAATCATCACCTTACCATGATTGCTGTTCTGCCAAATCCAACGTCCTCAGTGTTTCTGGATCCTTAAGACCTAGGGGAAGGCTACAGATAAAGGTATGATGTAGATTCTCCTATAAACAATGCAAGCTGGGCAGAAGCTTCAAACAGTAGATGGAGCCTGCAGAGGAAAGCATGTTCTAGCTGCACTATGATCTACCATGTTTTAAAACAGGCAGATAATTATGCATGAAAACCACAAAAGACATATTAAAAATATTCCTACTCCCATGTTCCCACAACCACCAAGGGACCTCCCTAATTCACTATTCCCTCATCTTAACTCTCATATTTAACAAAATTCATTTAATTTTATATTGCCTAGAAAGTCTTACATGTGCCAAAAATAAGCTTCATTTTCTATCCCAAAATTTACTATTTTCTCTTTCCCTACTTATTTAAGCTAATGATTCATTTTTTCTCTGGTCTAAAATTAATACCAAGTCAACTCTACATCAACATTTTGATATTCAATTTTCTCCATTTCAATTACCACTATATTAATTCAAACATTCGTGGTTTTTTTAGTTTGTTTGTTTTGTGTTTAGCCATACCACCTAATAATGCACTTAAATTCTTCCAACTGAAATGTTCCCTTCTCCCTATAGCTCCATCAAAATAATGTTAGCTACTCTTTATTTACCAAGAGCCAAGTTTATTACTACATACCTGCTTAAATCTTCCCTGTCAAAAGGGTGAATACAACTAATGACATATATGTCGGAATATGGCAACTTCCACACTCATCAAGGAAACACACGTTTTAACAATAATTTATCCTTTTCCCTATTATGTTAAAAAAAATGCTCCTTCTAAACATGGCTACCAAATCTAGGCTGAACTGGTTGTTACAAAGCTTCAAACTGCGACTTATTAAAAAACACACACAAATAATTACATTTTTAACAGAAGTTTAGATTTATGCATAAAAGTAGCACAGCATTATAACAAAATCTGCTATAACTACTTTTAACAATGCAACCGTTTCCAATATTATTATACCTTCACTGCTTTCAATACTGGAAACAAGAAAAGTAAACTGGTTATTTATGTCACTGAATTGTACATGTAAACTTGATTAAAATGGCAGCTGTTTATTTTACCACAATAAAGAAAAAGGAAACTGGTTAAACAAAGGATGTTAAAAGAAATTAATTTAAACTGTAATAACAAACTGTAGAAACATCAAAACAATAAAGAGAAATAACGTTTTGAGGACACTGTTTGCCATGTGGAGTCATATGGTAATAGATCTGAAGAGAACACAAAGTAATAGTTCAGTAATGGCGGTAAGATGCAGGAGAGATGTTTTCCCTCTAATTCACAAAATTTTATGTCAATTAAATAAATTTTTATGAGAACTTGGACGGTACCAGACTGTCTAAACAACCTCCTGATGTCGCTTCTATTTGGAACATTTCCTGCAAAACAATCTGTCCATATCTCAACACACTGTCCAACTGACTAATCTCTATACGAATACCTCTTCTCCCATCAACCAGACTTATGTTCTCAAGAGTACAAGAATTATGTCCTTACAGATACTTAAATGCCTAGCACCCCAGGGGAATCCAATATTTCCATGAATTAAGGTTTTACATAAACATTATACTTAAATATCTCAAAAGGAGTATACTAATCAGCAGCCTGAAGACTCTCAAATGCAGTTTCTGACCCAAACTCAAGTTTAACACCTAGACAATCTATATTCTGAATATTGTCTTACAATTCTTTATATTGCAGAGTCCAAACCATACCACCTATATATAAAACTCAACCTTTCTTGTCATGAAAGCTCCACAGACACATCCAAACTCCCTGAGGGACTGAATTGCTCGGCGGAGGTCTGTGGGGACCATGGTCTCAGGGAACATCTAGCTCAATTGGCATAACACAGTTTATAAAGACAACGTTCTACATTCTACCTTGGTGAGTAGCATCTGGGGTCTTAAAAGCCTGTGAGCAGCCATCTAAGACACTCCACTGGGTCTCACCCCTTCGGGAGCAAGGGAGAATGAAGAGAACAGGATACAAGGAAAAGATTAGCCCAAAAGACTAATAGATCACAGCTACCAAGGCCTCCACCAGACTGAGTCCAGAACAGCTAGATGGTACCTGGCTACCACCCGACTGCTCTGACCGGGATCACAACAGAGGGTCCTGGACAGAGCTGGAGAAGGATGTAGAACAAAATTCTAACACACAAAAAAAGACCAGATTTACTGGCTTGACAGATTGGAGAAACCCTGAGAGTATGGCCCCTGGACACACTTTTAGCTCAGTGGTAAAGTCACTCCCGAGGTTCACCGTTCAGCTGGGAACTGGACAGCCCCATAAAACAAAACGGGACTAATGAGGCACAGCAGTCCAGGGACAAGGACTAGATAGCAGGAGGTGACAGGAAAGCTGGTAATAGGGAACCAAAGATTGAGAAAGGACAGTGTTGACATGTTGTGGGGATGTTAACCATTGTGTGTACTGTTTAATGAGAAAGTATTTTGTTCTGTAAACCTTCATCTAAAGTAAAAAAAAACAAACAAACACAGAATTATCTATGTGAGATCAAACTGCCAACAGCAACTCAAAAGGTTTGATGGGAAGCCCAGGGGACAATGAGTTGACAGTGAGTTGAAGACAATGGTGATGGAATAATTTGGAAGAGGATAGCGAGAATAGCAGCACAACTGGAAGAACGTAATCGATGTCACTGAATTGTACATGTAGAAATTATTGAAATGGTGTATCTTTGGCTATGTATATTTTCACCCAAAAAAAGAAAAGGTCCTCCAAGGTCGAGAAGGGAGTGTTGACATGTCACGGGGTTGTTAACCGATGTTATAAAACAATATGTGAACTGTTTAATGAGAAACTATTTGTTCTGTAAACCTTCAACTAAAGCACAATAAAAAAAATTTTTTTTTAAAAACTCAACCTTTCTTCTCTTCTCAAATACAGAAACACTTGTTTGGCAATTCCCATTTTTATAACACTGTATCTATTAAGCCTTGGAACCCGGAGCAAACCTAGAGACAAAACAACAGACTAGTGGTTGCCTGGTGCTGGGGTAGAAATAGAGAATGGCTGAAAATAGGAACACTGGATCTTATTGGGGTGATAGAAGTAGTCTAAAATTACCTTGTTACAATGGGTGTTCAATTATGTAAATTTACTAAAAAGTCTAGATTTGTATACACCTCTGTGAAATATCTAGAATAAGCAAATGCAGAAACAGAAGTTTATCCATGGTTACCAGGGATATGGGTGAGGGAGGAATGGAGAATTATTGCTTAAGGGGTACTGAGTTTCTGTTTGGGGTGAAGCATAACATTTGGAAATAGACAGTAGTGATGGTTGCACAATACAGTAAATAAAATTAATATCACTGACTTGAACAATAATACTAAAAATGGCAAATATTATGTTATGTGTGTATATGTATATATACACATATATAACCACCACAAGAAAATCATACAAGAGTTGGTAATTTTATGGTACCGAAAACTATGCATCAAAAAACTTTTAAAGGGAGTTCCGGCAAAATGGCACTCCAGGCAGAAGCACCACGCCGTCCCTCCACAGCAAAGATCCGAAAAACTAGGCCAAACAGAGAATACAACAATCCTGAAACCCTAAAACATCAAATAAAGAGATAAAGAACTCAGCCAACCACCAAATGGAGTTAGAAAAACTGACAGAGAACGGAGAGCGAGGAGAGATTCATACAGAGGTCCCCTACCAGCTAATGCAGCGCAGATCTGCCATCTTGGACTCCTACTAGAGACCAGCAAACGGGGTATGAGAAACCAGCCTCGCGGAGCGTCCAATGGGAGACAAAACAGCCGGTAATTTGCAATATACACTTTCCCAACACCCACCCTTCTTCACCCCGACTCGGCCTCCTCTGCTTCCCGCAGCCACAATCTCTTGACCGGGAAACACCGGCTGCTTGGATTCCACACACCCGAACAGGCCGGCTCTCAGAGTGCCATTTGTTGGCTGCTGTTGTTGCTTTTTTCCACTTCTTTTGATTTCTTCCTTGCCTCTCATCACCTCCCCCTCCTTTCGCTCAAATACCTGGCTCCGTGCACCATCTTTGATTCTTCCTGAGGGGCTGCAGAGCTCCGTTCGAGTGTGGAACTGCTGCCCAGTCTGGGCGGCCACGCTGATGGGATCCTACGGCTTTTGTTTGTTTGTTTGTTTTCTTTTCGTTTTTTTGAGTTGGGAGCCCTTTCTGGCCGTGCAGTGCTGTGTGGCGGGGGGACTTTCCCACCGGCTTGCACAGACGTGCAGAGGGATCCCTGAAGGCATTTCTTTCTTCGCTGTTTTTTTTTTTCTGTTTTTGGGGGTACCGTTCTTGTTTTTTTTTTTAATTTGTTTTATTTTCTTTTCCCTCTTTTTTCCTTTTTGTCTTTCTTCATTGCTCAGTTTCTCGTCTCTCTATATCTTCCTTCTCTTTCTGTTCCCTGAAATCCTGGCACTGAATACCTCTACACCTTCTAGCCAGGCTGTACTGCCATACCTGAGAGCGACATCCCCAGACCTTCTAGCTGGACCGGTGGGATCACTGTGAACTTTGCGGTCCTTTAACGTTTCCGATTTTTATTTATTCATTCTTTTCTTTCCTTTCCTTCCTCTTCCCCTTTCTGTTTTTCTCAATTTCATAGTCTCTCATTTCTCCACTCAAACAGCAAGCTCCCCTAGCATTCTTTTTTGTTTGTTTGTATGTTTTTGGCTCCTGTTCCTCTCTCCTCTCTCCCGTATCCACCTTAGCTCCACACATAACAATCTCCCTGCTGCATCCTGCCTACCTGCACCGTGCGCTTGACATCACACCACCAAGCAGCACAGCCACGGCCTACTGGAACCTGCCCTACACTGATTACCGACCCGCTCTGGTGGCTGTAGTAAGTGCCACAAACACCCCGTCCCAGTAACTCCTCTTCAGCTAGACCTGCCCTGCCGTACCATATCTGAGTGACTGACCCTGCCAATTGGAGAAGGGGGCAAAAAGTATTGTGCCCACAAACGAGCAAACAACAAAGAACACACAGTCCGCCTCCTAAGACACAGTCAAATTTAAAAAACAAACAAAAAAAGGGATGAAACAAACAAATCTAC